ACGCAGCTCTTCTAGGATGTATGTAGAACAGGCCGCAGCCTTCTGGAAGACGCTGGGGCAAATAAAACCAGGAAATGTACAGGTTGTACGTCGTCAATTGAGCTGCGTGTACGGAGACAAGGGCGTCCCAGAGAGTCTTGTCATGCGGATGGGTGGGTACGGGACCGAGCTGCTGGAGAGCCCACAAGTGGTTACCCCCTCAGGGAGTGATGCTGTCTCTACACCGTCACCACCCGCGGTCCCAAAATCGCGTTTCCACACAGATAAGACAGACACACGAAGAAAATCCCCACCCGTCGCCCCGCCGCGTTTATCGGTGGCTGGATCCGCCAGGAATCGAGATATGAAGTCTCCCTCCACGGAATCCGGGGGCGTTGTGTCTTCACCGCGAGCCAAGAATAATTTAGTTCCCCCAACGGTTCTCCAAAACAGCGGCGCTGGCGGGGGTATTACACCTAACTCGCGTCCAGCAGCCGTAATTGCACATCCCACGCCTGCACTAGCGCAGCGGAAGCAAAAAGTTTGGAAGGAATGCCTGTGTTTTAGAGTATCTTTTCGACTTTTGGCAGCGTTGCTTGTCCTATCGTTTCTATGTGCATTATTTGAAAGTGGAACATTTTTGAGTTGGTTGTTAATAGGGCGGTAGAGAAAATGGATGGGAACAGACATCGATTGATTCAAAGATGAATATATATATATATATATGTGGCGAGCGTCTTGCAGGGGAATTTCTCTTTCTTTCTTTTTTTTTTTTGGAGGAATTACCGTCCCTGTTTTTTTTTTTTTTTTTTTTTGTATGTTTGTTGTTAACACCACCACTACGACGACTAGTAATATTATTTGTTGGGCACTAACGGTGTGTCTGTACAACACCGGAGAGGGGGGAAAGTACAAGGGAGAGAGAGAGAGAGAGAGAGAGAGACGGGAGGGGGAGGGATGGAACGAAAAGGAATCGCGAAGCAAAGTTATTTTTATTCTTGTTTATGCCTTTCTGTGGATGTGAGGTGCTTTTTTAAACCGTTTATTTTTATTTTTATGTTTATTTTTTTTATTTTATTTTTTGACGCGCTCTTTCTTCCGTACTTTCTTACATACACACAAACACACATGGACACATACATTTACACACACTTTGTTGTGCAACTGTGCGTTTTTTGTGGACACTTTGCGGTTGTTTTTGTTGCTGCCCTTTTTCTAGGCCCTCCTTTTTCTTTTATTTATTTATTTATTATTATTATTATTTTTTGTTTCTTTTCTCTTTCATTGTGTGTATTTCTGCAAGTTTTAGGGTTAAGGAAGTCAGTTCTATTTGAGAAGCGTGGAAAGGCAGCCGGATTGCGGTCACAAGGGGGCGGCTATCAAATGGGATTGTCATGAGATGCATGCGCCTACATCGCAAAGCATAAAGAAACGTCTTTTTCTTTTTTGTTCTTATACTTTGCTGCTATGAGAGGCACGGAAGGGGCGTGAATACCACTTCAGGTTACGTTACGGAGGAAGCGGCATGCGCAAGCAGCAACTGGACCCCCGTGCAGGAGACGCCGCCACCTCCATTTTGGTGCCAAAATGCCGATGGCGATGGGGATGGGCATTCATATCAATTTTTGTCCTTTTTGACTTTTTTTTTTTGGGGGGGGGAGGGGGGGGGTAGGGGAGGCATGAGGGCATTGATGCTACGGCGATCTGGAAGCTGCATCCGCTTTTAACTGCTGTTTTTTTTTCCGTTCCTATTTCCTGTACTTCTTCCTCTCTTTCGCTTGGCAAGGGTGGGAGAAGTTGGTGGACATACCCAAAGAGAAGGCAGCGAAAAAAAAAAAAAAAAAAGAAATGCAGTACGTTCTTCTTTTGGGCGACTCCCTGACACAGCAAGGTTACGAGTCCGGCTGGGCGTCACGCCTCAGCGAGCGTTACGTGCGCCGCGCAGATGTTATCAATCGTGGGCTAAGCGGTTACAACACGCGCTGGGTGCTGGATATACTGAAGGATGATGCGAGGCGTCAGCAGCTTCTTCCCATACAACCTGGTAAGGCACTGTTCGTAACTCTGATGCTTGGGTCCAACGATTGCGCTGGCTTTCCTCAGCATGTCCCACTGGATGAATACGGTGCGAACCTGAGGGCAATCATTGACACTGTGCGCAAGCACGTATGTCCCGTTGGTGGTATATTCCTCCTTTCGCCCCCACCGCTTGACGAGAAGGGACGACTGCAGTGGTTGCGTGACGTTGGTTGTGACCCCAATTCTTGTGGCCGCAGCTTCGAATCCATGCGACGCTACCGCGATGCTTCTCTGCGGGTTGGGGCCGAGGAGTATGAGGAGCACGGGGATGTTTTTACGGTTGACCTGTACCGAGTCTTTCTGGGCAGGAGTGCTGACACGGTGCCGTACGTAGAGGGCTCATGGTGTGAGTATTTTTCTGATGGTCTCCACTTCGACGAGAACGGCGGTCGCGTTGTGTTTGAGGCGCTGTGGTGTGCCATTGAGAAGTCTGTGAAGGCCAGCCAAATTCTGCCGGACCGTCTTCCGTACGTTCTGCCACCACATGAAACATTGGTGGGTGGCAGCTCGTGAAGAGGCATCTTTCTGGGGCTGGGCTGATCTGAGCCGATGTGTGGCTTGCTGTGCCAATGGGTCATTGTTATCGTCTGGTTGGGGGAACACAATATTATATTATTTTCGGTGTGTGCATGTGGGGCACCCTTGTTGGTTTGATGGGAGCCGCCGCTTTTCGCACGGATGTGTTTTCTGCTCTGATTGTTGTTTATCCGCCACTTATTACTCTACTTGCTAGGGGGTTATAGAGAGGTAGGTGCTTGTTGCTGTAGCCGAATGCATAGTGCAGGAGTGGAGTCGTGCCTTGCGTCTGCCTATGAGCGAAGGGCGGACGCGGTTCTGCGCCTGGCGGAGGAGCTTGAATGCGGATCGCCCAGTGCAGGACAGTGTTCTTCGCCGCACTTCTTCCGTGCCCTTGTGACGGCGTACCTTGTGCAGAACGATGCTGTGAACGCGACGTGGGCGTTGCAGCGGTGGGCGACGGGACCAGCGGGCGCCGGCGAGCAAGAGGAGGAGGGCGGAGTGCGTGCGATGCTTGAGAGGGTCGCCCGTCACTGCGGTCGGTGCGCGTATGGGGAGGCCTTTCGGGAGGCGCTGGGAGCGGTTGGCGGCGGGACTGGGAGGGACGTGGAGCACCTGGAGCGCTGGCTGCTTGACTACCTGGCGGCACGACACGTTCATCAGCGGCGGACGTTTTATGGCGAGTCTGGTTGCATGGAGAAGCTTGCGGTGGGCCTTGGCGTGACCGTTGCGGACCTGGAGGCGCGACTGCAGCGTGTTCGGGAGGACGAGCTGCGGCACATTGGGCGCGAGGTGTCGGGCGGCCCGTGCGAGAAGACACGCGAGACGCTGTGCTGCATGCTGCAGGTGGGAAAAGCGGCTTAGGTTGGTGCGTGTGTGCGTGTTGAACTCTTTTTTTTTTTTTTTTCTCTCTCTGTGTGTGTGTGTGTTTGGGGCTGGGGCAGTGGTCTCTTCTTCTCCGTGTTTTGTTGTGGGCGTCTGTGCATGATGCATGCATGCATTTGTGTGTGTGTGGATGCCTTTCTCCTATTTCACGCCTGCTCCTTTGGTGCGCGGGCAGTAAGCAGTAAGCAGGAAGGGGAGGGGCTGTTGTGTGGACAGGCAAGCATATGCTCCGCCGAGGCACGGTCTCGCTGTTGAGGGCCCGGCCGAAGACCGTTAACGTTGAGCCGGGCTCGAACCGCATGCTGGATGCCGCTGTGATGGCGAAGGCAAAGGACATCTTCGCGGTGCCGGAGTTCCCTGGGAAGCGGGTGCTGCACAACTGGCGCTTCTTCATCAAGGCGGGGAAGGCAGCCACTGGCCCGCCGGTGGGGCAGGAGTTCTCGAAGCTCGGCCTGAAGGCCATGGATTTTGCAAAGTCCTTTAACGATCGCACGAAGCCGCACTTCAAGGACGACGTGGAACTCATCGTACGCATTCAGGTGTACTTTGACAAGTCGTACCTGTACGCCATCGAGCCGCCGCCCACGGCCTGGTTTATTTTGCGCGCCCTGCGGAAGAAGCGCCGTGAGACCGGCCCGGTGCCGATTCGCGGACACTACTGCGCCCTAATGACGCTGGAGATGGCGTACGAGATAGCGAAGATGAAGCCGAGGAGTTGGGGAAGGCCGGAGTACCCACTCATTGAGACGCGCGTGCGTCGAGTGGTGGGGCAGGCGCGCCGCATGGGCGTGTGTTTTGTCGGCGTCGACACGCCGCACAGCTCTCCCGTGAAGGGCGTGACGGAGAAGCAGTACGCGGAGGAGAGCGAGAGGTACCGTGCGATGCACATGGAGCAGTACGAGGCGTTGCGGCAGCGGGAGCTGGAGGAGGCACCGCTGATCGAGCGGCTGCACCGCCCGAATTTTGCCCCGCTTAGCGAGGCGCAGATTGAGGAGGGGCTGAAGGAGCCCGGCCTCTTCCACGCCCTGTGGCAGGCGAGCCACCCGAAGAGCCCGTACCACAAGGACCTCAGGCAGCGCGAGATGGCGCGGCGGTACCTTAACGCCAGGGGCTGGGTGAAGGACATGACGCTGGACGAGATGCAGGTGGTGTTCATGAACTACCGACTCCCGGAGATTGAGCGTGGGCACCAGATGGACGAGGGAGGGATGGAGGGCCAGGTGTACTGGACGCGGGACGGTGCACAGTAGCAAACAAGGCGGCCTGCCGTGACGGATGCGCTGGCGGGGGACGTTGTGCCTGGAGCGACGTGAGGTTTGACTCCTGCCCTTCACGCGGCGCCGTGAAGGCCGCTGGTGCGGGTGCTACCGAACGGTTTTGTTTTTGTTTTTTTGCTTTTTTTGCGGTGTTTTTTGTCTTTTGGCGCATTGGAGGAAAGAAGGAACTGAAGAAACAACAGCACCCGAAAAAAGTGAGAAGGACGCACTGCCGGATGCTGTGAAGGCCTTTTCTTTGACGGCAATATATATATATATCTGTGTATGTGTGTGTTGGGTCCTGGCAGGAACCTCTCATTCACCGAGTGCAGTACAGTGCGCTGGCATTGGGGCGCAAGTGAAGTTTGTTTTGTCTTTTTTTTTTTTTTCAAAAATTTTTCTTTTTTTTTTGTGGTTGTTGTGTGTTTAGTATCTGCAAACGTGGAAGATTTTTGTGCGAAAGGCATGAAGGGTTACGCTCGGCTTGGCCTGTTTGTCTTATTTGCGTCTTGTGTTGTGTGTGAGGTGCTGTGCCCATACACAAAGGTAGAGGAAAGCTTTGGCATGCAGGCAATGCATGACTTTATTTTCTGTCCAGCTCCGGACTGTTGGGATCATCATGAATTTCCGGGAGTGGTCCCACGAACGTTTGTTGGCCCATGGATTGTCGTTGCCTTGACGTTGTTGATTGTTACACTCGTGGTGGAGCCCATCGGTACAGTCGTCAAATATACTTTTCTTCATGCGGGGTTTTTAAGCAACATAATGGATAATAAGAAGTGGATTGTGGAGCATCCATTCTTCCTGGAGGTGACCGCGCCGAAAAGCCCCATGTTCTTCTCTCACGCGTGCCGTCTTGTTCTGGGGTCGCTGGTGTGTGGCGCCTTGTGGTACGTTGCGACTGGAATCGATGAGTTTGAGAATAAAATTGTGAAGTCTACTGCGAGGCCAACCCGGAAGCGTTGCTCTGCGTCTTTTATTTTTTTTCTTTTGTGCATCCTACAGTTTCATCTCCTGTTCTACGCGACGAGGGCGCTTCCAAATACGTACGCGCTCATTCTGTGCAGTTTGGCATGCGGGTGTACGTTGCGCGGGATGCACTATCATTCTATTGCGTTACTGAATGTCAGCGCTGCGGTTTTTCGCTGTGACACCATCTTGTTGCTTGGGTCATCCGGACTTTTTCTGCTTTTACAGCGTGATGTGACTCTTGTGCGATCTGCGTTGGTTAGCTTTTTCTCTTTGGTGCTTGCTTTTGGCTGCAGCGTCGTTTTGGACAGCTTCCTGTGGGGTCGTTGGCTTTGGCCTGAAGCCAATGTGCTGTTTTTTAACACCGTCGAGAATCAGTCATGGCGCTGGGGGCGGTTGCCATGGCACTGGTACGTCACGTATGCGCTGCCACGAGCCTTTTTGTTTGAGTACATGCCACTGCTGCTGTTGGTGAGCTTGGCATCCTGGGATCTGGGCCGGCGGCTAATCCATCTTATGGCGGCCTTTTGCTCTCGAGCTCCAGCGGCTTCGTTGTTTTCACTGTCACCGTATTCTCCTTCTTCTTCTTCTATTCGTGGGGCGTTGTTTTCACTGTGGCTGGACACGGGTGTGCGGTACCGTGCCGTGTTGCTTCCGGCAGCTCTCTTTGTGTTTCTGTATAGTTTCCTGCCGCACAAAGAGCTGCGATTTATTATGGTGGTTTTTCCGAATTTTTTGGCGCCTGTGGCCGCTGCTGTTTCTTTGACGTGGAATGAGTTGATCGCGAGGGAAGGGGACGGCTCTGCACACGTGAAGGATGGAAATGGAAAAACTGTGCTTCAACAACCGGAACGGGGCAATGCGAGCAAACAGCGGAAATACAAGCACGTTCGCTATGAGCAGCGAATGAAGCGCGTGACGATGGCCGTATTCTTGTGCTTATTTCTCCTGCAGCTTATGACCGTGGTGATGTCTGTGTACTTTAGCATTCACAATTATCCCGGTGCGGACGCGTTAAAAAAACTGCATCAAATCATTGAGAAGGATATTTTTGATAACAATTCATGTGCCAATCGCCTGGGCGTGGGGAGTGCGGACCAAACTGTTTCTCTCACGGTATTCATTGACGCCTACGCTGGCATGACGGGTATTAATCGGTTTCAGAAGGCACATCATCTACAGCCCCCAGGGCAACTTGTGGATGGGAGAATAGGGTACCTCCCGTTATATCCCTCTTCGCTTAGAGATCGACTTGTTGCGTTATTTGCCCTGCCGTTCGTGGCGCTTCTTCATTTGTCGGAGGGTATAACTTCTCCACTGGGGCGGTTTCGTGAGTATCACGACGGGGATTTATACGGAACCATGGGCGGGCCTTCAACAGCCAGTGATGCCGCGAGTGTATTTCTGTCCGGGGCCGATCGGAGGCAACTGCGGGGGGTACAACTGCGTTACACCAAAGATCCCACTCTCTTTGATGAGGAGCGCGGCGTGTACAAAAGCGACGGGTTGGACTACTTGTTGGTGCGATATTCACAGCGTGAAATGCACCGTCAACACGGCGTGTTTGAGGAGCTTTTCACTGCGTCATCGGACTTTTGCTCTCACGTGGCCTATTGGCTGCGTGGCTTCTGGCCGTGGCGGTGTCATTTATTATTTTTTAACGAAAGGGCTGAGAAGCCATTCATTTTGGCTTTGCGTCGACGGTGCAGGGAATAAGTCCATCGTTACGTAGCTACCTCCATCACAACGTGTAGCATGAGTGGGTGTATGACAGTAAAGAATAAATTTGAGGGAAAAAGTAATAATACTGAATAGTTAAAATAGTAAAGAGTTTTGTGGGAATTAGTATTAGTGGTTTTAAGAGGGGGAATTACTCCCGATTGAGGGAACCGCTTTGCTTTGTAATGTTTGCATAAGATTGACAGTAAATATGCACATTACATATCTACAGAAGTATGGATGAACGAAATAAAAGAATGAATCCTCATCCTAAAGTATTTATTTATTGTTGTTATTGTTATTGTTATTGTTACCCCCATCTTGAGTGTACATCATGCGTAGAGAAGAATATTGCATGATTTTCTGAAGTGGGATGATGCATGCGTTTCATCGTCTTAACGGCGCGAGACTGTATTCGGCATATATATATATATATATATATATATATATATATATCGATATACACATATATATTTATGTATCTATTATATAGATACGTATAATACACATTTGCATATTTCTGTATGCATATGTAAAGCTGACTGTAGGGATCAATGATTTTCTTTTATTATTATTATTATTATTATTATTATTTGTTGTTGTTGCTGGTGTTGGTGGTGCTGTTTTTGTTCTTTTCTTTTTTTCTTTTTTTTTATGTTTTATAATTTGGATGGCCCACACGATGCACAGTAACACGTGACCCTTTTCCCCCCTCCCCTCCACCCCTCCCCAGACCTTATGGTGTGAAAAAAACTTTTCCCCGCGCTCATAACGACATTCCCGTGAGGGGAAATGTTTTGCTGGCTTTTCTTTTTTTTTTTTCTTTTTTGTTGTTGTCGTTTTGTTTTTGTCTTCCCCCCCATAATAATTAACGAGGGGGGTGGTGGATTGAAGGAGGGGTGGGCGTCTATAAAAACAAACAAACAAACAAAACGATGTACAATAAATATATTACATGCATACATTTATATTTATATTTATATATGCGGGGAGGTCTGGGGAGGGCCACGGATAAACAGCTTTTTTTTTCTTTTTTTTTTTTTCTTATTGTGTGTGTGTTTGTGTGAGGCCCTGAAGTTTTTATTCGTCGTCCAACCATCCACGTTTTATTGCTTTGTGCGATGGTAGGACGGGGACAATTAACGATGCGCGTGTGTACTCGCAGCAGGGGGATTTTTTTTTGTTTTTTGTTTTTTGTTTTTTTTGTTTTTTGTTTTGTTAAACTCCTTTTTTTTTTTTTTTTTGGATTTTTTTTTTTTTTTACTTGAGTGTTTGTATAAAATTTGTTTTGTTTTTTGAGTGCTTCCGCAACGATGATGGTGGCTGATGTGCGCTCAATAAAAAACAACAACAAAAAAAAACAGAAGGAAAAACGCGGATTTATTTATTTATTTATTTATTTATTTATTATTTTTTTCCTTTTTTTTTTTTTTTTTTTATGTGATGACTGCCAGGCATTATTGATATTTCTTCCAGTGGTTTTTGCTGTGGGCATCATGAACCTTTGGCGTAGGCATACATGTACGCATATATAAAAATATATAAATATAAATAAATAAATATACATGCATGCATGCATTATATACACGCAGACAGGCACGTATGTACGCACAGACAGACGGACAGAAACGCACATACACACGAGGTACCTGCGCACATGTAAGTTTCCGGCCAAATAGACTTGAAAAGGAGGAAAAGGGGGAAAAGGGGGGTGGGGGGGGGTTGAGAGGGCACGCTTTGGCTGGGCCGTGAATGACGTGAATGGGTGGGATTTAGAGTGAATTTTTGGGTGACGGAAAAGGTGATGTGTACGGAAAAAGGGAGGGAGACGTGGGTCGTGAACGCCGCCGGGTGTTTTTTCGTTTTTGTCTGCTGCTCGCCGTCAAGGGGTGGGAGAGAAGGGGATGCGAAAACGCAACAACAACAACAACACTCACTCACTCACTCAAACATACATACATACATACATGCGTGCATGCATACTTACATACACACACTTGCCAAATTACACTTGCAACTTGGTTTTTGCCTTGGAACTCCCTCCTGATATGATGAAGCAACCACCAGATCATTACTTAAAACAAGCAGCGGTTCGTTGGAGGGGAACGGCAGCACTCGCTCCGCCGAAAAGAAGAAGAAGAAGAACAACAACAACAACAAGAACAAAATAAAAAATAAGAAGGCAATTAGTCACACAGCACTAACTTTTGAGGGCGTGCACGCGAGGCAGACAGTCTATAGGTGAAGGACAAAAGGAAGAGGAATAGAAGGGCATTAAGGTCCCAAAGATAAAGAGGGAAAAAGAAGAAGAAGAAGAAGAAGAAGCATAAAAACGGCAGGTACGTAAAAACCTACCGAGAGGATTTGTAAGGAGTGGGTAGTAAACAGAAATCAGGCCATACAAGATAACTCAGCTGCTGGGCTACGTTGACGCACAAAAGAAGAGCGAGCTGCAGAACTGAATCTAAGAGGCAGACAACATTTTGAATATATATAAAATAAAATAAAATAAAATAAAATAAAATAATATATATATATAAAGGATGTCGTACACGATTCAGGTGCGTGGTCTTCCGGAGGACACGAGAGAGGACGCTGTTCGTGACTTCTTTAGCCGTGTAGGCGATGTGACTCATTGCACATTGGAGAGGAATGCTGCAACGCTATCGTTTGAGAACGAGGAAGACTTCAATGAGGCACTTAATATGGATGGCATGGAGTTTGAAAACGGTGCATTCATTCAGGTGGAGAAGAAGAGGCAGGAGAATGATTCTTATCACGGACGCTCAGACAACAACATGGATGATAACCAGAAAAACGGTGCGACAGATGGAGAGAGAGGGGGTGACGGCAGGGACGCGTCGCCGCGCGATAACCGCAAGCGTTTCCGTGAGGAATTTAAGGTTGCCGTTCGAAACATCGCAGAGAATACGACAGAGCAGCAGCTTCGTGAGTTGTTTGAACCGCTTGGAACCATCGCCGATCTCTTTTTAGAGCCACGGCGCCGCTACGCCTTTGTCGGCTTTGACAACACCGACTCTCTTGAGGCCGCCCTGCAGATGACCGGTCGGGAACTGAATGGCGTTGCCATTGAGGTGGAGAAGAAGCGCACTGGTCCGCGTGAGAATGTGCTGCCGACGAAAGTAGTGGTGAAGGGAATGCCGCCAAACACAAACGAGGAAGACCTCCGCGCCTTCTTTCTTTCCGCTGGAGAACCCGTCGATGTATTTATCCACGAGAAGAAGCACTTCGCGTTTGTTGGGTTTCCCAACGAGGAGGCATGTGGTGCAGCGCTCCGGCTGCATGGCACGGAACTGAACGGCTCCCGCGTCGATGTGGAGCGGCGCCAGCGTCAACGCTGCTTCAAATGCGACAGGGAAGGACATGTGGCGCTGCAGTGCCGTGCGGTCGAGCCGTATTGCCGCAACTGCGGCCGCAATGGCCATCTTTCCCGTGATTGCCGCTCCGGCCCACGCGACAATCGCCGCAACCAAAACGACCGACGTGAATTTGTCCGGCGCGACTACAACGACAGACGCGACTACGGCGACCGGCGCGACTACAACGACCGGCGCGACTACGGCGATCGGCGGGAGTTTGTTGACCGGCGGGATGTTGACAGGCGCGAGGATCGTCGCCGTGCTCGATCCCGCTCAGACTCGTACGAACGGCATCGGCGCCGTCACAGCCACAGCAGGAGCCGTAGCCCGAAGAGATTTGCTCGCGAGCGCGACCGCGACCGCGACCGCAGCCGCAGCCGCAGCCCACCGCGCCGTCGCTACTAAAAGCGGGTGAGGGAGAAAAAGGGGCCACACACAAACACACACACAAACACACGCGCAAGTGCATATTTTCTTGAGGAGAATTGGAAGGCGTTCCTTCATGGCGTGGTGTGCCCCGGGCGAAGGCAAGCGGCGGGTAGTAATGTGCTGCGGCGGGGATATAAAAGGGGCGTCAAAATAATAATATTAATAATCAAAAAAACAAACAAAAAAAACAAACAAACAAAAAAAAATAAAAAAAAAAAACAGCAAGCAACGACAGGCAGGGAAAAAAGAAAGAAAAAAGAAAAAAAAAAAAGGAAAAAGGCACCTAACTAAATAAAAGCAACAAAAAGGAATTAACTAAAGAGCTGACATCAATGTACACAGGGGGCCCCGTATACATACATATATCTATATTTATACATAAAGGCAATGAAGAGGTTGAGGTGAGGCTTGGAGGGGCCTCCGGTGCTGTCGATGAGGAAGATGGCGACTGTGGCTCACTCACTCTCTCTCTATCTCTCTCCTCTTTCCTTCTTCATTGTGCCGGGTTGATAATGGAAGGGGCAGTCCATTACAGTAAACCAAGGGAAAAGAGACAAGAGAGATGCCAGACAGGAACCAGGAGTAAAAAAAAAGGGAAAAAAGAGAAAAAAAAACAATAATAAAAAAAAAAAAAAAAACGAGAAGGAGAAAAAGAGAAGACGAGAGAAAGAGAAATATACTAAAAAAAAAAAAAAAAAAAAAAAAAAAAACTTATTTTATTGATGCCCATATGCGGTAATAATAAAAATAAAAATAATAATCTATCTATCTATCTATTTATATATATATATTTATATATCTGTGTGTATTTGTGTATGTTTGTTTGTATTTGTGCGAATGAAGTCTGGTTTCTTGCGGACTTGAGAAGAGGCGTAAATAAAAAAAAAAAGGAAAAAAAAAAAAGGCATGAAATGACGGTAGATTTTTAAATATTAAAATAAAAAATAAAAAACAAAACAAAACAGGAGAACCCCTTTTTCTTCTTTTTTTTCTTTTTTCTTTTTTTTTTTTTTCCCTCCACATTTATTTTCATAACGTGTTTTTGAATATGTTTGGATTGGCCGCGTGTGTGCCTTTTTGATTCTCAGGGAAACGTGGAGGGGGGAGGAGAGGGGCGTATGGACGGCAATGTTGTTTTCCTCTCAGCTTCACGGATAAAAGAGAGAGAGAGAGAGAGAGAGAGAAGGA